AGGCAAATACACTAAAGCAAACATGAAGGCAAACATATGTGAGATGAAGACTTAAGAGAACATGTAACTGGAAACAGAACATATTTTTTAACCACAGAAGTGAAATAAGCTATTCAAGGTTTACTAGAGAAACACTATAAATTATAACTCAGGAAGATACCATTCTATTACAATATCATGATTTATTAAAGCAGAGCATTCTGTTCAACAAAGGGTCTTAAGAGTTGTCTGTTCTCAGCCACAATTCGCTATAACTTAGTTTCTCTTAATAGAAAACACGTTATACTTTAAAGGAGTAATTTCACTGATTAGGAAGTTACCATAATACCTATTTTAAACCTGAACAAATCTAACCAACTATTGGACATTAATGTAAAATCCTTACCTAGAATTTGATATAAAACTTTTCAGAATAAATCCATTAAAGCAGGTATCCCACGAAAATTTGTAAGGAAAGCTAGCATAATAGCAAGTGGAATCTTCACATCTTATGAACCATAAATGATACTTTGTAAAAGAGTCTAGTAGAGACATTAAACATGCAAAAGCTGATGAGATTTACCGTCTAAACTCCAAGCATCAACACAGAAAGGATATTGGGTCAAAAGACCATTAATTATACATTTAGAGGATCATTTCTCCATGTAAGCATAATCTCACTTATGATTACACAGGTTATGTAGTGGATGATCCACCTACACAATGCTTCTAACTGTACAGTGATACACTCACTCTAACTTACTGCTATGCAGGAAAAACACCATCTAATGAGACACGAAGACAAACCACAAACCAGACTAACAGGACACAGCACTGATATGACCAGAGCAAGTGGGAGGATGGGGGAGGGGAAATGGATGTGTGAACTACAGCCTCCGTTGGGAGGGATGGGAGGCTGGGGTCTGGATTGATGACGGCTAAACAGACAACAGGATGAGTCAGGAAATCAAAACCAATGATGAAAGCAGACACACCGTCAGAAAACTCCACAAGGAAAAAATATTCAGGACTGCTCTTTCACAAATACTCGGAAAGAAATCAAGCATGAAACCACAGAGAAATTGTCCAAGAATTTTAAATATCAACGACTTAGACAATGATACAAAGTATAAAAGCAGCGTGTCAAAAGACCACAAAATGGACCAGGTACCACTTCACATGCAGCTAAAATGACCCACATTTATTTTAATTCTATGCTAACAACACAGCTAACATGAAATGGGTGGTAACAGAAAAAAGGGATAATACAAGTGCAGTTTCAAGGCAGAGTGTTGTACACATGATTCAAGGGGTAAACAGCAATGCACTCAGAAACCTAGGCTACACACGCAAGAAAGCTGGCACATGTGCTTTAGAGCTGCACACTCTGTCACCAGAAGCCCTAGGTCGTCATCCCGTGTTGAGACGCGGAAGAGTGAGGCAGCCCGACTTCTTCCCTGGGGCCCTGGGGCCCCGGGGCCTTTAAATGGTTTCACGTGCACAGCTGGCCTGAGCACATGGCAAGGCCCGTCAGCAAGCGGACCAGTTCAGATTCTTGGTTTTGTTGCCACCGCATGCCCTGAACCCTGCAGCCAGGCGACCCCGGTGGAACATGTGCTGCCCGGCTTTTACTCGCCATGAGGGCTGCCTGTGGTAACTTTCACGAGGCTGTCTGCTCCCTGACGACAGAAACTTCCCTGCCGCTGTTGTGCCCAGCACAGGCCAGGCCCACCGTTCCAGAGGCAGGCTCTGGCTGAGTTCACGATGGCTTGCTAAGCCGCTGGTCCAAATATCAAGACTGATTGGTCCCTGTGCCATTATGGAATGATTAAAGACCAGGCAGTTTCACAAGTCTTAGACTTCTGAGCGTAGCAAATGTACCTGATTTTCTCTGGGGAAAAAGAGAAAAAACAGAGAAAGAAAAACAGTGTGCTTGGGGAGGCATGTGGCAGGGAAGAGGCAGGCATATACCGGAGTCATGACGTCCAGCTGGTCTCCCTCGCACGCCAGGCTGTGCCACCTCCTTCGGGGATGGGAGCGCTCCCTGCTGGGCGGGCAGGAGCCAGCAAGTGAGGAGGCAAGACACAGGTTGAGGGAGCTCAGTGACTTAAAACGCTGGGAGTTTCTGGTTGGAGGCCATTTGCTGGCTCCTGTTTTGGGTCGTCTGTTCTCCCAGAGGCTCCTGGAGCCGGCCACCTGGACTGCGCCGCACGTGGGCTTAGAAGGCCAAACGCCCCTGGCCCTGGGACAGCCTCTTCAATCGAGGGGAAGCCGGCCTGGTGCGAAGATCATGTCCTCTTAATTTGGCCATGCACGACCCTGGTTTGGTCTTTCTTCTTTTTTCGGGAGAAGGGCTTTCCTTTGTGGAGACATGGAACTGCCCCCACAGCCCCTCCTCCAAACCTCCCCTCCTTCGTCCCCCACCCCCAGCCCTGTTGGTAGTGTTGGTTAATGAGCTGGTTTGACTCACTAAGTCCTTTCATTTTGGGTCCCGGCTCCCAAGGGGTGGGTGATGCCAGGGACAACTCCTTTCTTGGGTGAATTTTTCATTTGAATCATGCAGCTTAGTCATCCCGTGGCGAAGGCCAGGGCAGCTGCAGGTGCCCACTGTCAACAGCCTGCCTCCCGGGCAAGGTGGGGCTGCCATGCCTGGGACTGAGCTGGTGCCCACCTAAGGGCTCAGGCTCCTGCCAATGTCCATGGCATTTGCCCTGCAGAGCTGCAGGGGTTGGGGCGGGGGTGATGTCAGGGATCAGGGTGATGTGGTAATGATGCACCCCTCCCCTCACCCCGTTGATTTAAAGCTGTTTCCAAACAGTTGAGTCTCTCCTGAAGACGAAGCCTTGTCCCGAAAGGCCCAGTGAGACAGCTGGATCTTGGAGACAATTACGAGCTGGGAGCCCAACTCCTGACTGCCTGCTGATTCTGCCACTGATCATTTGCAGCTGCTTGTTTCGGTCTCCACCTTCAACACCAGTGGCTGAAAAAGCCCATGATGTGTCGCTTAATTTTCTTTCTGATTCTCCCAGATCGGTGGCTGGGGGCTTGGGAGAGGACCCAGAGAAGGGAGCTAGCCACCTGCAATCCCTCTGGCTTTGGGGAACAAAGACTGATGTGAAGGCCCACAGAGAATTCTCTCTTCCAGTCTCAACCCCTTCAAGGGTGGCTGGAAGGGGAGGCAGGGGGCCGTTTTACATAGGATTAGCTTCCAGGTGGCTGCCATTTCAGCACAAGCAGTACTGAAATTCACATAAAAAAGAGAGAGCTGTGAAACTGAGGTCCGGAGTTAATAGGCCCTGCAGCGAGCCTGCAGGCCCGTGGTGCTTGCGAGAACGAGGGCCTGCCCCAAGCTGGGAGCATGGGCCTCAGCTGCGCCCCGAGGCTCATGCTGAGCTGCTCCCAGCACCGCAGGCCAGATTTACCTGCCGCAGGGCTGGAAGGAACCTGGCGGGGACCTCGCGTGCAGCGCCTCTTCTCCGCGGGAGTTGTCACACAGCCTGTCTCTGCAGATCCTGCTGCCGTGTGGGACCCAAGGTAGGCGGCCGGTGGGGGCGTCGGGGCCCCGGCAGCACGGGAGGGTTGGGGGGGGGTGCTGTTGGGGGGCCGAGTGTCAAGAGCCGGGACCCAGGGGTCTGGAGTTGCTCCTTCGTGGGCCTTGCCGGGCCTGACACTGAGGGAAGGCGCACTCGCGGGATTGCAGTTTTGTGTGTTTCCTTCTCTCTCTCCATATTTATTTTTTTAATTTATGGAGGCGGTGCAAATTTCAGGAATGGTTGGGGACTAAAGAAAGAACTCTCTAGCTCCATCCATGTGAAGCCTGGCGAGGTCTGCTCCTCTGCACTGGTCATCAGCATTGTGTAAAGAGACTGATACACTTGAGTGTGCAAGCAATGAAGCCGTTCGACATGCTGCTACGAAGACTAATTTGAGCACAATTTTAAAAAAAGGGAAAAAAACTAACCTACAAAAAAAACCCCACCCTTTATTCTTTAATTGTTGCTTTTACAGTGATATTGTGCATGCAAACTAGGAGCATTTTGTGTCTTAAGAAAAATAATCTGAGAACAGATGGCTGTGAAAATTACACCCGTGCACAGAACAAGTCACAGGAATAATAGTTCAGAATTTGGTTTTTCTCTTTTTTCTTGTAAAACCTGAAGGGTTGATATATTCTTTCCATACAGTTATTAGAACTTAGTTTTGTTCTAGCAGTTGTGAAACTTGCAATGAAAAGGAAATGTGCCATTTTTTTTGCCCACTTGGAACTATTCTTAGCTGTATATTTGAAACTGCTAATAACACACGAGCGACGTATGCTGGTTTTTTAGTGCAATTTCTTCTGTAGCTATTCTTTGACCAAACTGTGGGTATTGTTAATATTAATTTATATTTGTCTCATTTTTGTATGTATGCATAGCGTGGTTGTAAGTATGTGTGGTTTATAATCTAAAAAGGTCATAAAGCTCAGTTTGGCTGTAATTTAATTCCCTTCTCTTTATTTTTATTTATTTTTGTACTGTGCTGATTAAATAAAATGCACTGACCAAAAAAAACAAACAAACAGACAAAAAAAAATGCCAAAGGCTGCAGAAGCGTGCTCCGCCCACCCTGCTCTCAGTCTCCTCGGCCCGCTGCTCCATGCTCTCCCTTTCCTCCTGGAGCCACCTAAAAGAGACCAAAACTCGTGAGCTGCCTTTGTCAGCACAGCATCGTGTCTGGACAACAAATTTGGGCTGGCATTCTGTGTCACAATGAGCAAATTCCAGGAATATCTGCTCATTTCACATCTCGGCTAAAAGGTTCGACTTTCCCTCTTTTGAATATTCTCAAACTTGGAATAACTTGGCACTGAGTCTTACAAACTGGCCCCTGGTCATTCACGTTTGATTTGACTCGTTTACGCTAACATTCTGACGGGGCCTGTGTGGCGACTCTCTCCCTGTGAGGAGATACCTGAAGCTGACAACCTTAACCTTCCCTGCTCTCAGGGCAGAGGTGCACGTCAGTGCCTCAAGTCTTCTCCACTGGGAATCGGGAACTCTCTATAACCAACACAGCGATTCACAAACAAGCTGGAGTTTCTAAACAAAACTCCCCAGACCAGATGAAGTGCTGAGGGGATTTTTACTTTTTTAAGGATGTATGTGTAACAACACATCACTTGATGAAATTCTCCACCAGCTGTGTGTGAGTTTCTGGATTCATGTCAATCTGCCGCATTAACCTAGAATTCACGCTTACTGTTCTTCTCCCCTAATGTGTAGTGGATGATTTTATATAGCAGTTGAAATACACAATGATGCCTATAAAATGATTTCCAAATTAAAACACGGGATTCCTGCAGGTCATAACCTCTTCAGCTTCATTCTACGTAAAAGTCTTGAAAGTTTTTCACTTGTGATAGCAAGCTGATGGACACAATTTACTATTCATAAAAGAAGTCAACTTACTGCCTAAGGAAAATTCACTTTACCTGAAAACTTGCTGTAATAAAAAAATATTAATATGCAACCGTTCCATATTACCTGCGGGGACAGGGAAAGCCCATCTTTCTGAGCTAATCTGAGCTGAAACAAGGCCAAGGAGGCAGTCTGTCTCGGCATCAAAAGTGCAGGTGGCACCACCTGCATTTGCTGGCTGTGCCATTCTCGGCTACCCTCCCCCCGAGCCCCACGTGCTCGGCACTGAGGACCGGGCATCTCGGCCTGGGCTGACGTGAAGACAACAATCTAAGCAGCACCTCTGCCTGCTCCTGCACATGGTCACCGGCCTGTGACCGCTCTGGACGTGGAACCGGGACAGGGGCTCAGCTGTGCGGGTGTGGCCCAGGCAGGCCTCGGGGCCCCCGGACACCCAGCTACACCCAGACCCAAGACCTGCTGCTCATCACCAGGCAGACCTTTGCCTTCTATCTCGAGCTGTAAACTGTTACAACTGAGAAGACAGTGTCTAAAAAAATATCTTAAATATCCTGATGAGATGAAAAAAGCTCAAACACATGTTTTGGGCCACTGTCTTACAACAAGCCAATCTTCACACTGTATTAACTTGAAAAGGACAATGCAGATCTGAATGGGAATTTGCCAACCCCCAAACCCCTGCTTTTCTGTTCCAGGTAGCTTTTCACCAGAACGTGGGAGTCTCCGATGGACACGGGAGGGTGAACTCTCAGTGCTGGAGGGCACACGGGACGCAGAGGACACTGCGTCGGCACCTCACCCACCTTGGGGCTCAGAGCTGGGGGGGGACACCCCACAAGAACCCCCCCACAGAGTGCTGACACCAGCTGTGGACAGAACGGCCTGCCTGTCTGAGCTCTCTCATCAAGGGTGGTCTGAGAACTGAAAATCCTTGAAGCAGGCCTGAAGTCAGTTTTCTCACTATGGAAGACTCAAGACTTCTCGTAGGAGAAGACAGCTCCTCAGAGAAGCCCAGTTTCTGGGGAGCCGAGTTCGGGCACACCCACCGGGTCTCCTCACTGATGGTGTCCAGCTGCTCCCGAGGCATCACAGGCAGAGTGTCGGCATCGGCCTGCCCACTGGGCGGCAGCTGACCGGCCGAGCTGAAGAGGGTGACCCTGTCGCCCTCGCCGTCAGACACATCCTCGTCACTCTCGAAGTCCTGGGCCATGGTGGCCACCACGCGGGTCTGCTGCGCGGACTCCCAGTCCTGCTCCCTCTGGCTCTGCACCTGGGCATGAGAGGACCACGGCTGGTCAGCGACATTCAGGACAGCTCACGTCTATCAGGAACCGAACACAATTTTACATGGAAGCCCGACTTTGGATAAACGGCCATGCCTATGAGACACTGCCATCTCTTAAGCGAGCAGTACTGAAGAAATGGGCAGGAGGAGAATCCAGTTCCTAGATGGCCTGCTGACACTCAGGTCAGCATGGACGGAAGGCAAGCCTATCAGGTAATTCACAAGAGTGCGCTGACGGAGTCAGGGACAAAAACGCAAAATTGCAAACATACATCCATGCCTCCATCAGGCAGGCTGAAGGAAAATAAGAAGGAAAAAAATCCTTCTGCTCCAAAGCCACTGGGTCCGCCTCAGCGGTCGTCACTTGTACTAGTTCCCCGAGGAGTGCCGTCCTCACAGGTTCCCAGCCCTACGTGTTCCAGGCTGGCCCGAACACGCAGAGAGAGGAGCGAGCAGGGGCAGCCAGGGAACTGGAGGGCCAGCCCTCCGCGGCTGTCCTCTCGGGGCACAGGCACTCGGGCTCTGCTGGGGGATAGCCCCTCGCACCGCAAGGGCGGCTCTGCCATCAGAGACGCACGGGAGAGTGCCTGCTGGGCCCTGTGCCACACTCCCGCTCTCACATCTCACACCCTTCTCTCTGCAAATCTCCCCCCTGTCCGACTCTCAACCCAGGTCCTGCCTTCTTTCCCACACATGACCTCAAAGCAACTGAGGGGCAGCCTCGAGGTGCTGGCTGCCGGCTACCTGGCCCCCGTGGCCAGAGCCCTCGCCCCCTGACTTCCTCACAACCCCTCCCCAGGGCTGGGCTACCCCCTTCGCTGGCAGCAAGTCCACCTGCCACCATCCCTGCTCCCCTCCAGCGCACCAGCTGCCTATGGGTTCACCCCTAGCAGCCCGGTCAGCACATCCTCTCGCTTCTCTCGCCTTCAAATGGCACAACGGGAACCAGCAGACTCCTCCTCCAGGGCACTCTGCAGTGCCCACTGGGGGTCTCTGAAGGCTGCCTGGGAGAGGCATCTGCTGTCTATACAGCGTATGATCCATCTACATTATGATTTTAACTGTATAGTGGTGCACTAACTCTAACTTACTGCTATGCAGGAAAAACACCATTCAATGAGACACGAAGACAAACCACAAACCAGACTAACGGGACACAGCACTGATATGACCAGAGCGAGTGGGAGGATGGGGAGGGGAGATGGATGTGTGAAGTACAGCCTCTGGTGGGGGGGATGGGAGGCTGGGGTCTGGATTGATGACGGCTAAACAGACAACACGATGAGTCAGGAAATCAAAACCAATGATGAAAGCAGGCACACCGTCAGAAAACTCCACAAGGAAAAATTATTCAGGACTGTTCTTTCACAAACACTCCGAAAGAAATCAAGCATGAAGCCACAGAGAAATCGCCAAGAATTTTAAATATCAACGACTTAGACAATGATACAAATTATAAAAGCAGTGTGTCAAAAGACCACAAAATGGACCAGGTACCACTTCACATGCAGCTAAAATGACCCACATTTATTTTAATTCTATGCTAACAACGCAGCTAACATGAAATGGGTGGGAACAGAAGAAAGGGATAATACAGGTGCAGTTTCAAGGCAGAGTGTTGTACACGAGATTCATGGGGTAAACAGCAATGCACTCAGGAAACTAGGCTACACAGGCAAGAAAGCTGGCACATGTGCTTTAGAGCCGCACACTCTGTCACCAGAAGCCCTAGGTCGTCATCCCGTGTTGAGACGCGGAAGAGTGAGGCAGCCCGACTTCTTCCCTGGGGCCCTGGGGCCCCGGGCCTTTAACTGGTTTCACGCGCACAGCTGGCCTGAGCGCGTGCGGCAAGGCCCATCAGCAAGCGGACCAGTTCAGATTCTTGGTTTTGTTGCCACCGCATGCCCTGCACCCTGCAGCCAGGCGACCCCGGTGGAACATGAGCTGCCCGCCTTTCACTCGCCAAGAGGGCTGCCTGTGGTAACTTTCACGAGGCTGTCTGCTCCCTGACGACAGGAACTTCCCTGCCGCTGTCGTGCCCAGCACAGGCCAGGCCCACCGTTCCAGAGGCAGGCTCTGGCTGAGTTCATGATGGCCCGCTAAGCCGGTGGTCCAAATATCAACACTAATTGGTCCCTGTGCCATTATGGAATGATTAAAGACCAGGCAGTTTTAAAACTCTTAGCCCTCTGAGCATAGTAAATGTACCTGATTTTCCTCTGGGGATAAAGAGAAAAAACAAAGAAAGAAAAACAGTGTGCTCGGGGAGGGATGTGGCAGGGAGGAGGCAGACACATACCGCAGTCATGATGCCCAGCCGGTCTCCCTCGTGCGCCAGGCTGCGCCGCCTCCTTCGGGGTGGGGAGGGCGCCCTGCTGGGCGGGCAGGAGCTGGCAAGTGAGGAGGCAGGACACAGGTTGAGGGAGCTCAGGGACTCAAAACGCCGAAGGCTGCCTAAGCGCGCCCTGCCCGCCCTGCTCTCAGTCTCCTCGGCCCGCTGCTCCGTGCTCTCTTCCTCTTGGATCCACCTAAAGGAGAGAAAAACTCGTCAGCTGCCTCTGTCAGCACAGGAACCTGTCTGGACAGCAAATTTGGGCTGGCATTCTGTGTCGCGATGAGCCAATTCCGGGAACATCTGCTCATTTCACATCTCGGCTAAAAGGTTCGACTTTCCCTCTTTTGAATATTCTCAAACTTGGAATAACTGAGCACTGAGTCTTACAAACTGGCCCCTGGTCATTCACGTTTGATTTGACTCCTTTATGCTAACATTCTGATGGGGCCCGAGTGGCGACTCTCTCCCTGTGAGGAGATACCTGAAGTTGACAACCTTCACCTTCCCTGCTCTCAGGGCAGAGGTGCACGTCAGGGCCTCAAGTCTTTGCCACTGCAAATCGGGAACTCTCTATAACCAAAACAGCGATTCATGAACAAGCTGGAGTTTCTAAACAAAAGTCCCCAGACCAGATGAAGTGCTGAGGGGATTTTTCTTTTCTTACGGTTGCATATGTACAAACGCATCACTTGATGAAGTTCTCCACCAGCTTTGTGCGAGTCTCTGGATTCATGTCAATGTGCCGCATTGACATAGAATTCACCCTTACTGCTCTTCTGCCCTAATGTGTAGTGGAGGATTTTAAATAGCAGTTGAAATACTCGATGATGCATATAAAATGACTTCCAAAATAAAATACAGGATTCTTGCAGGTCATAACCTCTCCAGCTTCACTTCTACCTATAAGTCCTGAAAGTTTTTCACTGGTGATAGCAAGCTGATGGACAGGATTTGCCATTTATAACAAGTCAACTTACTGCCTAAGGAAAATTCACTTTACCTGACAACTTGCTGTTCAAATAAAAATACTAACATGGAACCGTTCCATCGTTCCTGCGGGGATGGGGAAAGCCCATCTTTCTGAGCTCGTCTGAGCTGAAACAGGGCCCAGGAAGCAGTCTGTCTCGGCGTCAAAAGTGCAGGCGGCACCACCTGCGTTTGCTGGGTGTGCCGTTCACCCCTGACTTTCCCCCGAGCCCCGCGTGCTCGGCCCGCAGGCACGGGCACCTCGGCCTGGGCTGACGTGACGAGAACAATCTGAGCAGCAGCTCTGCCTGGTCCTGCACAGGGTCACCGGCCTGCGGCCACTCTGGACGTGGACCCGGGACAGGGGCGTAGCTGTGCGGGTGTGGCCCAGGCAGGCCTCGGGGCCCCCGGACACCCGGCTGCACCCAGACCCAAGGCCCGCTGCTCACCACGAGGCGGGCCTTTGCCTTCTATCCCGTGTTGTAAACTGTTACAACTGCCAAGACGGTGTCTAAAGAAAACATCTGAAATATCCTGATGAGATGAGAGAAACTCAAACATATGTCCTTGGGCCACTGTCTTACAACAAGCCAATCTTCACACTGTATTAACTTGAAAAGGACAATGCAGATCTGAATGGGAATTTGCCAACCCCCAAACCCCTGCTTTTCTGTTCCAGGTAGCTTTTCACCAGAACGTGGGAGTCTCCGATGGACACGGGAGGGTGAACTCTCAGTGCTGGAGGGCACACGGGACGCAGAGGACACTGCGTCGGCACCTCACCCACCTTGGGGCTCAGAGCTGGGGGGGGACACCCCACAAAGCCCCCCCACAGAGTGCTGACACCAGCTGTGGACAGAACGGCCTGCCTGTCTGAGCTCTCTCATCAAGGGTGGTCTGAGAGCTGAAAATCCTTGAAGCAGGCCTGAAGTCAGTTTTCTCACTATGGAAGACTCAAGACTTCTCGTAGGAGAAGACAGCTCCTCAGAGAAGCCCAGTTTCTGGGGAGCCGAGTTCGGGCACACCCACCGGGTCTCCTCACTGATGGTGTCCAGCTGCTCCCGAGGCATCACAGGCAGAGTGTCGGCATCGGCCTGCCCACTGGGCGGCAGCTGACCGGCCGAGCTGAAGAGGGTGACCCTGTCGCCCTCGCCGTCAGACACATCCTCGTCACTCTCGAAGTCCTGGGCCATGGTGGCCACCACGCGGGTCTGCTGTGCGGACTCCCAGTCCTGATCCCTCTGGCTCTGCACCTGGGCATGAGAGGACCACGGCTGGTCAGCGACATTCAGGACAGCTCACGTCTATCAGGAACCGAACACAATTTTACATGGAAGCCCGACTTTGGATAAACAGCCATGCCTATGAGACACTGCCATCTCTTAAGCGAGCAGTACTGAAGAAATGGGCAGGAGGAGAATCCAGTTCCTAGATGGCCTGCTGACACTCAGGTCAGCATGGACGGAAGGCAAGCCTATCAGGTAATTCACAAGAGTGCGCTGACGGAGTCAGGGACAAAAACGCAAAATTGCAAACATACATCCATGCCTCCATCAGGCAGGCTGAAGGAAAATAAGAAGGAAAAAAATCCTTCTGCTCCAAAGCCGCTGGGTCCGCCTCAGCGGTCGTCACTTGTACTAGTTCCCCGAGGAGTGCCGTCCTCACAGGTTCCCAGCCCTACGTGTTCCAGGCTGGCCCGAACACGCAGAGAGAGGAGCGAGCAGGGGCAGCCAGGGAACTGGAGGGCCAGCCCTCCGCGGCTGTCCTCTCGGGGCACAGGCACTCGGGCTCTGCTGGGGGATAGCCCCTCGCACCGCAAGGGCGGCTCTGCCATCAGAGACGCACGGGAGAGTGCCTGCTGGGCCCTGTGCCACACTCCCGCTCTCACATCTCACACCCTTCTCTCTGCAAATCTCCCCCCTGTCCGACTCTCAACCCAGGTCCTGCCTTCTTTCCCACACATGACCTCAAAGCAACCGAGGGGCAGCCTCGAGGTGCTGGCTGCCGGCTACCTGGCCCCCGTGGCCAGAGCCCTCGCCCCCTGACTTCCTCACAACCCCTCCCCAGGGCAGGGCTACCCCCTTCGCTGGCAGCAAGTCCACCTGCCACCATCCCTGCTCCCCTCCAGCGCACCAGCTGCCTATGGGTTCACCCCTAGCAGCCCGGTCAGCACATCCTCTCGCTTCTCTCGCCTTCAAATGGCACAACGGGAACCAGCAGACTCCTCCTCCAGGGCACTCTGCAGTGCCCACTGGGGGTCTCTGAAGGCTGCCTGGGAGAGGCATCTGCTGTCTATACAGCGTATGATCCATCTACATTATGATTTTAACTGTATAGTGGTGCACTAACTCTAACTTACTGCTATGCAGGAAAAACACCATTCAATGAGACACGAAGACAAACCACAAACCAGACTAACGGGACACAGCACTGATATGACCAGAGCGAGTGGGAGGATGGGGAGGGGAGATGGATGTGTGAAGTACAGCCTCTGGTGGGGGGGATGGGAGGCTGGGGTCTGGATTGATGACGGCTAAACAGACAACACGATGAGTCAGGAAATCAAAACCAATGATGAAAGCAGGCACACCGTCAGAAAACTCCACAAGGAAAAATTATTCAGGACTGTTCTTTCACAAACACTCCGAAAGAAATCAAGCATGAAGCCACAGAGAAATCGCCAAGAATTTTAAATATCAACGACTTAGACAATGATACAAATTATAAAAGCAGTGTGTCAAAAGACCACAAAATGGACCAGGTACCAGTTCACATGCAGCTAAAATGACCCACGTTTATTTTAATTCTATGCTAACAACGCAGCTAACATGAAATGGGTGGGAACAGAAGAAAGGGATAATACAGGTGCAGTTTCAAGGCAGAGTGTTGTACACGAGATTCATGGGGTAAACAGCAATGCACTCAGAAAACTAGGCTACACAGGCAAGAAAGCTGGCACATGTGCTTTAGAGCCGCACACTCTGTCACCAGAAGCCCTAGGTCGTCATCCCGTGTTGAGACGCGGAAGAGTGAGGCAGCCCGACTTCTTCCCTGGGGCCCTGGGGCCCCGGGCCTTTAACTGGTTTCACGCGCACAGCTGGCCTGAGCGCGTGCGGCAAGGCCCATCAGCAAGCGGACCAGTTCAGATTCTTGGTTTTGTTGCCACCGCATGCCCTGCACCCTGCAGCCAGGCGACCCCGGTGGAACATGAGCTGCCCGCCTTTCACTCGCCAAGAGGGCTGCCTGTGGTAACTTTCACGAGGCTGTCTGCTCCCTGACGACAGGAACTTCCCTGCCGCTGTCGTGCCCAGCACAGGCCAGGCCCACCGTTCCAGAGGCAGGCTCTGGCTGAGTTCATGATGGCCCGCTAAGCCGGTGGTCCAAATATCAACACTAATTGGTCCCTGTGCCATTATGGAATGATTAAAGACCAGGCAGTTTTAAAACTCTTAGCCCTCTGAGCATAGTAAATGTACCTGATTTTCCTCTGGGGATAAAGAGAAAAAACAAAGAAAGAAAAACAGTGTGCTCGGGGAGGGATGTGGCAGGGAGGAGGCAGACACATACCGCAGTCATGATGCCCAGCCGGTCTCCCTCGTGCGCCAGGCTGCGCCGCCTCCTTCGGGGTGGGGAGGGCGCCCTGCTGGGCGGGCAGGAGCTGGCAAGTGAGGAGGCAGGACACAGGTTGAGGGAGCTCAGGGACTCAAAACGCCGAAGGCTGCCTAAGCGCGCCCTGCCCGCCCTGCTCTCAGTCTCCTCGGCCCGCTGCTCCGTGCTCTCTTCCTCTTGGATCCACCTAAAGGAGAGAAAAACTCGTCAGCTGCCTCTGTCAGCACAGGAACCTGTCTGGACAGCAAATTTGGGCTGGCATTCTGTGTCGCGATGAGCCAATTCCGGGAACATCTGCTCATTTCACATCTCGGCTAAAAGGTTCGACTTTCCCTCTTTTGAATATTCTCAAACTTGGAATAACTGAGCACTGAGTCTTACAAACTGGCCCCTGGTCATTCACGTTTGATTTGACTCCTTTATGCTAACATTCTGATGGGGCCCGAGTGGCGACTCTCTCCCTGTGAGGAGATACCTGAAGTTGACAACCTTCACCTTCCCTGCTCTCAGGGCAGAGGTGCACGTCAGGGCCTCAAGTCTTTGCCACTGCAAATCGGGAACTCTCTATAACCAAAACAGCGATTCATGAACAAGCTGGAGTTTCTAAACAAAAGTCCCCAGACCAGATGAAGTGCTGAGGGGATTTTTCTTTTCTTACGGTTGCATATGTACAAACGCATCACTTGATGAAGTTCTCCACCAGCTTTGTGCGAGTCTCTGGATTCATGTCAATGTGCCGCATTGACATAGAATTCACCCTTACTGCTCTTCTGCCCTAATGTGTAGTGGAGGATTTTAAATAGCAGTTGAAATACTCGATGATGCATATAAAATGACTTCCAAAATAAAATACAGGATTCTTGCAGGTCATAACCTCTCCAGCTTCACTTCTACCTATAAGTCCTGAAAGTTTTTCACTGGTGATAGCAAGCTGATGGACAGGATTTGCCATTTATAACAAGTCAACTTACTGCCTAAGGAAAATTCACTTTACCTGACAACTTGCTGTTCAAATAAAAATACTAACATGGAACCGTTCCATCGTTCCTGCGGGGATGGGGAAAGCCCATCTTTCTGAGCTCGTCTGAGCTGAAACAGGGCCCAGGAAGCAGTCTGTCTCGGCGTCAAAAGTGCAGGCGGCACCACCTGCGTTTGCTGGGTGTGCCGTTCACCCCTGACTTTCCCCCGAGCCCCGCGTGCTCGGCCCGCAGGCACGGGCACCTCGGCCTGGGCTGACGTGACGAGAACAATCTGAGCAGCAGCTCTGCCTGGTCCTGCACAGGGTCACCGGCCTGCGGCCACTCTGGACGTGGACCCGGGACAGGGGCGTAGCTGTGCGGGTGTGGCCCAGGCAGGCCTCGGGGCCCCCGGACACCCGGCTGCACCCAGACCCAAGGCCCGCTGCTCACCACGAGGCGGGCCTTTGCCTTCTATCCCGTGTTGTAAACTGCTACAACTGCCAAGACGGTGTCTAAAGAAAACATCTGAAATATCCTGAGATGAGAGAAACTCAAACATATGTCCTTGGACCACTGTCTTACAACAAGCCAATCTTCACACTGTATTAACTTGAAAAGGACAATGCAGATCTGAATGGGAATTTGCCAACCCCCAAACCCCTGCTTTTCTGTTCCAGGTAGCTTTTCACCAGAACGTGGGAGTCTCCGATGGACACGGGAGGGTGAACTCTCAGTGCTGGAGGGCACACGGGACGCAGAGGACACTGCGTCGGCACCTCACCCACCTTGGGGCTCAGAGCTGGGGGGGGACACCCCACAAAGCCCCCCCACAGAGTGCTGACTCCAGCTGTGGACAGAACGGCCTGCCTGTCTGAGCTCTCTCATCAAGGGTGGTCTGGGAACTGAAAATCCTTGAAGCAGGCCTGAAGTCAGTTTTCTCACTATGGAACACTCAAGACTTCTCGTAGGAGAAGACAGCTCCTCAGAGAAGCCCAGTTTCTGGGGAGCCGAGTTCGGGCACACCCACCGGGTCTCCTCACTGATGCTGTCCAGCTGCTCCCGAGGCATCACAGGCAGAGTGTCGGCATCGGCCTGCCCACTGGGCGGCAGCTGACCGGCCGAACTGAAGAGGGTGGGCCCATCACCTTCGCCATCAGGCACATCCTCGTCAGTCTCGAAGTCCTCGGCCACGGTGGCCACCACGCGGGCCTGCTTTGCGGACTCCCAGCCCTGCTCCCTCTGGCTCTGCACCTGGGCATGAGAGGACCACGCCCTGTCAGCGACATTTAGGACAGCTCACGTCTATCAGGAACCGAACACAATTTTACATGGAAGCCCGACTTTGGATAAGCGGCCATGCTTAGGAGACACTGCCATCTCTTAAGCGAGCAGTACTGAAGAAACGGGCAGGAGGAGAATCCAGTTCCTAGATGTCCTGGTCACTCTCAGTTCTTAGCGTGGACGGAAGGAAATCCTATGAGGTTATTCAAAAGGGTGGGCCGATGGAGTCAGAAACAAAAACGCAAAATTAAAAACATACATCCATGCCTCCAGCAGGCAGGCTGAAGGAAAACATGAAAGAAAAAATCCTTCAGCTCCGTAGCCAATAGGTCTGCCTCAGCGGTCATCACTTGTACTAGTTCCCCGAGGAGTGCCATCCTCACAGGTTCCCAGCCCTACGTGTTCCAGGCTGATCTGCACACTCACAAACAGGAGCGAGCAGGGCAGCCAGGGGACTGGAGGGCCAGCCCCCGCGGCTGTCCTCTCGGGGCACAGGCACTCGGCCTCTTCTGGGGGAGAGCCCCTCGCACCGCAAGGGCGGCTGTGCCATCAGAGACGCACGGGAGAGTGCCTGCTGGGCCCCGTGCCGCCCTCCTGCTCTCACACCCTTCTCTCTGCAAATCTCCCCCCTGTCCGACTCTCAACCCAGGTCCTGCCTTCTTTCCCAGACAGGACCTCAAAGCAACCGAGGGGCAGCCTCGAGGTGCTGGCTGCCAGCTACCAGTCCCGTGGCCAGAGCCCTCACCCCGTCTTCCTCACGACCCCTCCCCAGGGCTGGGCCACCCCCTTCACTGGCTGCAGGACCACCTGCCATCATCCCTGCTCCCCTCCAGCGCACCAGCTGCCTATGGGTTCACCCCCATCAGCCCGGTCAGCACATCCTCTCGCTTCTCCCACCTTCCGATGCCTCAACAGGAACCAGCGGACTCCTCCTCCAGGGCTCCCTGCAATGCCCACTGGGGGTCTCTGAGGGCTGCCTGGGAGCGGCCTCTGCTGTCCCTGTCCCACCTGCTCTCCAGCTCTCTGCAAGCAGGCGCTGTGCCCTGCCCTACCGGGCAGCTCCCTGGGAGCTGGAGGAGCCCATGTCACCAAGCCCACTCCCGTCCTTGCCCAGCCCGCCGCCCTCCAACATGTCTCTCCCTGGCTCTAGGCCCGGCCCTCCCTGGGGTTATTCCTCAGGCCCTTGCGCCCCTTTTCAAAGATAAATAACATCTGATGTCCACCACCACAGCCTTCATACTTTGTGAAAATGAAAGTATACAAATGACGAATCCTTAACTGAAATTACACGATGACTGATCAAACTTACCTCTCTGTGTTTGGTACTTAATTCCTCTTCTAAGGAACTACACCTTTGAAGTGTTCGTCGTAGTTCCTCTCTCAACTGAAATAAAAGGGGCCGAATCACTGTGTGTTGATCTGTGTACATACGTTAGTGCACTTCTTATTGTACCCTCACATGATTGCATGGTTACTGTAACAGAACACCTTTAATGTCTCTCATTGACCTTAAGGTGAAGAAAATCTGCTTACTAACGGCTTTAAACTCTAAGTTTCAGAATTTATCCTAAAAGAACTGTATTACCCAGTTTTTAATTGCAAATTGACAAACAGAATAAAATAAATCTTGAGACATTTATGCCAACTAATACTTTTTAACTGGGGGCTTCCCAGGAGGCTCAGTGAGAAAGAATCTGCCTGCCAGTGTGAGAGGGCAGGTTCGATCCCTGGGTTGGGAAGATCCCCTGGAGTAGAAGATGGCCACCCACTCTAGTATTCTTGCCTGGGAAGCCCCATGAAGAGAGGAGCATGGTAGTCTATGGTCCACAGGGTCGCAAAACTCAGACATGTCTGAGCATGTACACAGGCAACGCTTTTTAACCATATAAAACTCTGAGTTCTTACGGAAAAACTGTATTTACAAGAATTCAAGAAGCTCAAAAGTCAACTAGTTCCATAAACACACGCATCGTCCACCTAACCAGGCAGCAAGTGTACAAATCCAGGACGGCCGCGTGGCTGGTACCTTCTCGTCCAGGGCCTTGTGGTGCTCGAAGAGCAATCTCAGTGCCCTGAGGACCTCCAACTCGCTGGTCATGCTGGCTGGGGACCGCGCCTGATGCCTCTCCACCGTCATCTGGAGGGACGGCACGTACCGGGAAACCAGGAGCTCCAGGTGTTCCAGCAGCAGCTGCAAGGTGGGGCCAAAGGAGCACCTTCAACCTCACACTTGAATTCAGGGCCCAGAACGCCTCTCAGCCTCACGCTAAGACCGAAACCATGCTAAGGCATGTCGGAATCCCGCCAGTTCAGTCTAAAGTTAGAGTGGACTTCCCCAGTGGCCCAGGAGTTAACACTCCACACTTCTGCAGGGCTCATGGGTTTTAATCCCTGTGTGGGAACTAAGATCCCACACAAACTGCAGCATGGACAAAAATGGAAGCTAAGAGAACTCTCCCCTCAAATGTACTAAAATTACATTAGCTTTCATCATCAATTTGAAGCAAGGTGTGAGAAACCCGAACTGATCCACCTCGGTCTGCTCAGTGGGAGGATGTGAAAAATGACTTGAAAACCAGACTTTCAAGACAGCAACATGGAGACCAGCGGTGACCCCTGCGGGGCACAGGTCAACACGTGAGACTCCGCCTACTGACCCTGGTGTTGTTCCTTTCTGCTTTTAGTTCCGAGATTTCTGCTTCCCTTCTAAGAAGCTGCTCCCTGCATGCTTTTAGCTGTCGACATGCCAACTCCTAGAAAACAGGTCAATGAGGAAGTAAATAAATGCAAACACAAATGTTAAAGAGAGTGAGACTCTGAAGACTGACACTGTCCAGTCTCTCCAGGCTCCACTCAAAGGATCTCCCTGCCCCTCCGGAGAAGAGGGGGCCCACTGACCCCAAGACCACACAGACCCCTACAACTCAGACTGGCCTGCAGCCTCCACCTCGACCTGGCAGGCACGTGGCAGGGGAGAACCCGGAATCCAAGCCTGTGCGGTAGGGGAGAACCCGGAATCCAAGCCTGCCTTCTCAAGACGCAGGGAAGTCTGAGAGACTTTCCTAAACATACACTTAAGAACAAAGTGGATAAAGAGATTCTTAAACGACACACAGACAAGTGACCGAGAGCCCCTGGGGAGAGTGAAGAAGAAAGGTAAGGTCTTCAAGGCCACCAGGCTTTGGAGTGTTCCTCTGGGAAAGAGGCTGATGGCACCCCAAGGCCGTCTGTTAGCCTGACTCCACTGAAGTCACCCAGTCATTCAACGAACTGCTTAAAATGGTAAATTCATGTTATATGTATTTTATCACAATATGCACATACGCGGGGCCGTCCACGTGGTGAACTTGCTCAAACCGAACCACACGGACTCTTTCATTCTTCTATTGTTCTTTGCACAAATACAAAAATCCTGGGCTATGTCTCCCCTACTACATACTAAGTATTCAGCACCTAGAGCACTGCCCAGCACTTTGTAAGAGGCATGTAGTAGACATGTGAGGCTGTGAGGGTGTGTGTCATACACAGGAGCAGTAGGCACCCGTCATTAGAACACCGGGCGCACTGCTCTGGGCTTTGGACGATGGCAGACGTTAAGGGGCTCAGCCTTTCTGCTCCAAGGACTGACTCTCTAGCTCGACCCACACGCCCCAGAGACTCCTCCAGCCAGTGGATCCCTTGTTTGGAAGAAGAGAGACTTTAAGGGGCTTAGCCTTTCCTTTCCGCTCCAAGGACCGACTCTAGAGCTCAGTCCACGTGCCCCAGTGACTCCTCCAGCCCCTGTTCCCCTTCCTGTGGGGCCCCCGCCCATTGTCCACGCAGCATCTGCACGGCCTCTTACAAGGTCAACCTGCTGGGGTCCATCCTGCCCAGGAGGCCAGAACGCCTTGGCCGGCAGGGCCCACGAGCATGCGAACAAAGTAAAACACAACCCCAACTCTTTGCCGGGTGAGGGCCAACCCGACGGGCCCATCCCCCGGCTGCTCTCACCTCCGGGCACTCTGCTTCCACGACTTGGGATGAGGCCAACTTATTTCTTGTCTTGGCCTTTTTCTTGGGGTTGCAGCATGGGAAAAGTGCCCATAGGATGGCCCTTCTGCGACCCATCCTCGCGGATGGGGGCAGCCCCCCACTTGGGGGCACCTGCTGTTTCTCAGGCAGATCCCTAAGTGCCTGAGGTATCACTACCGATCTCACACTATGACCACTGCTCTCACACACCGCTCTCACACACACCACTCTCACACACACCACTCTCACACACACCACTCTCACACTGCTCTCACACTATGACCACCAGCTCCGCTATCTCAAGAAGAAATGACACGAAGGCTCTGCCTCCAGCACGTCACCCGGGAGCCCGGATCATGAAAGCCACTCTGTCACAAAGGGCTCCATGGTAACAGGGGGGCTGGGCTCCGGCCCACCATCAAGGGTGCAGAGAGTGGGGAGGGGCTGCCAAAAACATGGCAGGTGTGTGTTGGGTGCGGGAGAAGGAAGGCCGTGCCCACAGCTCAGGCCCACCATCAAATGTCACCCTGCAAGGTCACTGGGTCACAGTCAAACCGAACAGTATAAACTGCTTCAGAAACCACCACCGCTAGGGATGAGCACGTCTTCTAAGTGGGCTTCTGCTTCTTCCACCCCCGAAACAAGCCTGCAGTGAGGCTACTGAAAGGGCACCCCTGAACTCAAGGGTGTGCCCAGAACCCACATGGCTGAGGAGGACTCCCCGCACTGGCTTCCCCTCACTCTCACCCTGAGCTTGGTCCTCCCTGACTGGCTCCCTCACTTGAGCTCAGCAAGGGCTTGACCAACCTTGCTCTGGGCGCTTACAATGAACCCAGAGTGGGGACAGGGGTTCATTCAACCTGCTGTGAGCTCACCTTCTTAACTTCAACCCTGCGCCGCCAGACGACTCGGCCCCATGGGGACTGCATGGTGCAGGTTCAGGGGTGGCCCTGCCTCAAGCCGTGACAGCCAGCACCTCCCAGATCCCTCCAGGGGCTGCCCCGCCCTCCACGCGCAAGTCTCCCACCCCCTCTCCTGACCCCACTCCCAGCCTCGCGGCTCTCCACACACCAGGGCATAGCCCACACTGCTCCTGGCTCAGCCTGGTCCTCTGCGGTCACTTGAGGACTCAGTCCCCGGGGTGCTTGAGGTCCTATATCCGCCTATCTCAGCAATGACAGACTCTGGGGAGACAGGGTACAGTTTGGGGTCCCACCCGCAGTGCACCCTGAACACGGTCTCTTTTTTTTTTTTTTTTGCTTTATCTACTGCAGTTCTCTGAGACGTCTTTTGAAAACCTCAACTGTGGCTTTCAAAAAGACTGTAAAATCACTGTGCTCAACTTGAAGAATAAAATCTTCATTTTCAACCTTAAAATGAAACTGGAGGGAAGATTAAAAGCAGTCATTTTTCAAACTGAAAAAGAAAACCCACAGGTGACCCCATCACACAACAGGTCACGCAGCCCCGCTCTCCTCAGCTTCTCCTCCACCACCAGCAGCCCGTCATCGCAAGGCCTGCCCTGGGCTGGCAGGCGCAGGGGAAGCAGGCACACCGGCTCTTCCGTCCCCAGGCTGCGTGGGCTGCTTGCTCCACCTTCTTCCCAAATTCAAGTGGCACTGAAAGAGCATGGGCAAGCTGGGGATTCTGATCCGAAACACAACCGTGGGTACTAAGCAAGGACCCCTGCCTCTTGTTTTCCCGGTATCAAATAAAGATGATCAGTATAATTAGTGTGATGCTTACATGTGGCTTCAGATGAGAGAAGACACCCAGAGCTTCCCCACGTCCAGTTACAAACGCAAGCAGCTTGTAGGTCAGCCTACCCAGAGCTAGAAAAGCTAAATACATTTTAAAAGAGGTCCTCAGGCAGCCACAATCCAAGATCTCAAGCAAAAGGGAAGCCCAGTGAGGCAGCTGGAGACTGAGAGGCCGCTCCTTCCCCCGGGACATCTGAACAAAGCTGACTCTGCAAAGAAAAGGCGGGGGAACGTCCAGCAGAGGGGACTGGCTGACACAGCTCTGGACAGCTCCTCGGACTGGGAAGACAAACATATGAGCGTAGGCCTGACAAGTCAGTCCTGATGGTAGAGACCAGTCTCCCTAAGAAAAGTTAGGCACAGAAAACGTACCCAACACCCTGCCCAAACTGGCTGAGCACTGAGTATCAATCACCTCGTGGTCTTCAGGAGGTGGACGGTGGGATTCAGGACCTGCCTAAAAGGAGGGGCCCTGGGAGGCACCCCAGGCTTCCAGATGGAGATGCTGGAGGGCTCCTCCCTGGGGTCGGGTGAGGGGGGCGGGGAAAGTGGGTGAAGGCTGCTGAGACTCAGCTCACAAGGACCCCCTAGCCTCAAGTCACTCAGGCCCTGAGCGAACACAGAGCTCTGTCCCCACGAGAGGTCTACGTCAGAGGAAAGCCTGGAGAAGACAGCATCACTCAGCACCTCTAGGGCTTTCCAAACGTAGTACCCAACATGCAAACAACAAACCAAAAAAGGGTGTAACAACAAACAGGACCAACAGAAAAAGAACTGAAACAGATCCAGAGGGATCAGATGCATATCAGCATATCAGAGGTATGCTAGATGTATCAATTGCAAATGTCACCAGTTCAAAAAATATACTTGACCAAAGAAAAAATTTCTGAGAATCAAAACGGATGCTACAACTATAAAAAAAAACAGTGACGGAATTTAAGAACTCAGTCTCTGGGATTAACATCAAATTAGAAATAGCTGAACAGAGGATCAGTGAACTGAAGGATGGATCAGTTACAAATATATATATGACGGAAAAGTATAGAATATATTGAAAGAACCTGTTGTTAAACTATGTTGTTAAAGATATAAATGGGTCCCCTTATGAGGGAGAAAAGACAGAAAGGGGAATAAGAAATGCCTCCAGGAGTTGGAACTAAACAGCCTATTGATGAAAGTGTAAGAGAAGAGTGAAAAAGATGGCATACAATTGAGCATTCAGAGCTAAATCACAGATTTGTCAGTTTCTCCAGAAGTAACCTATTTTTGATGCCCAAGGAGAATCGCAATAATAAAACTAAATTAATCTAGTAGGTTATTTTCTCTCTAATGGCACCTGTCCTGATTAATAGGATTTCGGTCGATCTATTTCCTGGGCTTCCCTGGTGGCTCAGATGGTCAAGAATCTGTCTGCAATGCAGGAGACCTGGGATCCATGCCTGGGTTGAGAAGATCGCCTGGAGAAGGGAATGGCAACCTCTTCCACTATTCTTGCCTAGAGAATTCCACGGACAGAGGAACTTGGGAGGCCACATTCCATGGAGTCACAAAGAGTCGGACACAGCTGAGCAACTAATACACATATT